AAAAAAAAAAAAAAAAAAAAAAAAAAAAGAAACAACACAAAAAGTAAATATATATAAATATATAAATATAATATACAGTGGGCACCATCATCGCCCATGTCTGTCCATTTTCTATTCACTCTGTAAATGATCGACGCCTCGTCAACGTGACATTAAGTTTGCAATGATTTGTACATTTATTCATGTTTCCTGTGTGTGTGTGTGTGTGTTGTGTGTGTGTGTGTGTGTGCGTGTGTGTCGATCACTTTTTCTTTAACCATGTAGCTGAAACTGAATCTTGTTTTTTCTGTATTAATCTGCCTTCTGTTGCTCGAACTTCTTTTGATTGTAAACTGTGATGCACTCTTAAAACTCAAGTGTCATTCTTAGTGTGTGTGTGTGTGTGTGTGTTTACAGATCAGGACAGAAATTAAATTTAATTTATATATTTATATGAAAACACAACATAAAACATAAAAGACATTCAAATATAATGTCTAATCTAAAGTATGATAGTGTGGTCGACTGGTGTAGAGTCGTAACCTGGAAATCCAGATGCCCCGCCCCTAGCAAATTAGAATTTACACTGCGCGGGAATCTGGCCCAGACTCGGGCTCTGGGCGGGCGTAACATGATGACGACAGCGTTGCACCGTAGGAGTCTAAAAGTAAACAGCCAACATGGCAGCTGCTGAAGGACCGCGTCCATTCAATTTAGCTTTGGAAGAAACACTAAGCCAACTACACTTATCTTTCTCTGTGAGAGAGGAACAGACGACTGCCCTAGAAGCCTTCACTTCCAGGAAGGACGTTTTTGCCATTTTGCTGACGGGATACGGCAAAAGCATAATATATCAGTTAGCCCCACTGGTCGGCAAACACATGGGGCTTAGTGCAATGAATACGACACCTTGTTTTTTGCTCTGATTGGCCATCGTGCTATCCAACTGCGTGCAACAGCATTTGAAATGCCTCAGTTAGCGCCGCCCCTTGGGTAGGAAGGGTGTATCAGTGAGGGCCAGACTCAAAATCTTTCTAGAGTTGAGTCTGGATTTCCAGGCTAGTAGAGTCGTGATGAAATGGATAAACAGCTGATAGGTAGGTATACACTCACCAGCCACTTTATTAGGTACACCTGTTCAACTGCTCATTAACGCAAATATCTAATCAGCCAATCAGGTGTCAGCAGCTCATTAACATTTAGTCATGTAGACATGGTGAAGACGAGCTGCTGAAGTTCAAACGGAGCATCAGAATGATGAAGAAAGGTGATTGAAGTGACTTTGAACGTGGCATGGTTGTTGGTGCCAGACGGGCTGTTCTGAGTATTTACTGGGATTTTCAGCACAACCATCTCTAGGGTTTACAGAGGATGGTCCCAAAAAGAGTAAATATCCAGTGAGCCAAAATGCCTTGTTGATGCCAGAGGTCAGAGGAGAATGGCCATACTGGTTCAAGATGATAGAGTAAGTAAGTAAGTGAGTAAATTTATTTATATAGCACTTCTCACAGAGAGGACTCACAAAGTGCTTCACAAGATAAAATACAAAAAATACAATAACAGAAACAATGCAAAATACACAAAAACAAATAAAAAGTAAAGTGCAGCGAAATACAGAGATGATACAATGGACAATTAATGGAACGCAAGCCTAAACAGATGTGTTTTTAACTGCTTTTTAAAAATGTCCACGGAAGAGGCCGCTCTCAGCTCATGAGGTAGTGCATTCCACCATTTTGGTGCAACAGCCTTAAAGGCTCTATCACCTTTCGTCTTTAATCTTGTGTGAGGGACAGTAGAAAGGCAACAGGAAGTCAAATAAGCACTGGTTCCAACCAAGGTCTGCAGAAGACCATCTCTGAAGCAACAACATGTTTTTTAGGCAGTAAATGGCTTCCATATCCTCAGTACAAGCTTCACATAAAATATCAAACCCATAAATATGAAGGTGATGAATAACGAGACAATTGAAACCGAAGAACGTGCAGCAGGTTTTATTTAAAGCAGTGACAGAACATAGAAACATTTCTGCTGCTGCTGAGACATTTTAATGACGACAGAACAAATAAAAACACTGAATTTAAAAACCTGATGTCATGTATGTACACTTATAAATACATTCACACACTCACAAATATCACAAACAATAAAAAATTAAAATATACACAGTGTCCATCAGAAACTAAAGGTAGATATAGGTTCTAAATATTTTATACTCAACAACATTATTTATGATGTTTAATAAAAAGGAAGGTTATCAGTAGTTGTTGTGTGCAATAATGCAAAACAGCAGGTTAAAAACATTAAGTAAAGTTTCAGTTTTTCAGATGACGATCTGCAGCAGAGTCGACTCCTGAAAACATCAAATCTGTTTTTTCCAAATCTTTCTGTTGTTTACTGTAATTTTAAAAAAGCATCAGTGAGCCGTCGTGCTGCGTTCAGGTTCATATTTGTTTGGGTTTTTCGGCTTTCAGCAGTTTGACATGAACCTGATTTATCATGATTTTTACAGTGACTCCCACATGACCTGAACGCAGCATGACAGTGACTTGTTGGTCATGTGACTGCTGTCACTCCACTGCTGTCAATCATCTTTTGACCCCTCAGATTCACCTTCTGACCCTTCGAGATACAAACATATATCACAAACGTGTCATCTGGTTCATCCTTTGGAGAAAAAGATTCAGATTTATTTACAAATCCAAAATTTGTTCTTAAAGGGACAGTTTGGATTTTTGAAGTGGAGTTGAATGGGGTACTTATCTATGGTCAGTGTATTACAAACAGCAGATGTCAGTTGCCACGGCCCCAGTTTGCAGAAGCAGGCTGGAGTCTGACATGGAGGATAAACAATGTAGGATAGTGTTACATTTAAGGAGTATTTTCACACAGTAAAGTGAAACTGAAGCGACTCATCTTCGTATTAATACTTTGTTATCAAGAGATGCTGTAAAAAATATAAAGTTTTTAAAGTATACATTTATGATATTTTTCTTATAATGATATATTATTGTGATGATTAATCGGCACCAGCAAATCAAAATGATTTGTTTGATGAGAGCAGGTGGGTTCCCGTCGACAGGTGTGTGTTGTGGATCATGTCTTCAGGCCTCCTCGATGGGGGGACTGTTGAAGCAGCCCTCAGGGACGGCCTTCAGGATGTCTTCCAGGTTAGTGATGTCTCGCAGGATTGTGTCGATGTCCAGGTTGATGCTGTTGAGTCGTCGTCGCTGGGCGTCCTCCTGCTTCTCCATGTCAGTGAGACGAGGCCGCAGATTCCCCTCCACTTCTCTTTGAGCACTGGCCAGAGAGTCCTCCAGCTGCTTCAGCCGGTTTTCATCCACAGTCCCTGGCTTGTCTGAGGAGGAGGAGGGGAGAGGAAGGACACCGATGTTAAATCAACATGTTTCTGAACGTCTTAGTATTCCTGTAAAATTCACCTAAATTCACCCAAAACTCGAAGACTCTAAATAAAAGGCCGCAGTTCATTCTGCTCCATCACTGACTGCATTGACGCGCTGTAGCTAGGTAGCTAGCTCGCTAACACTGCTAACAGACATGATAATCATGAGTGACAGCTGCAGGATTAAATCTGACTTTTAATGAAATCTTTCTTTATTAACTTTCCAGTGATGTATTTCACATTTTGTAACTCTGACTGTGAACACACCGCCAGACTCTGCTCCGCCGTCTCAGCTGTGGTGCTGAGAGCCTAATGACGATGGGGCCGCCCTCATTTCCCATCATGCCTCTCTAGTGCTGATCTTGTGTTTAATTAGTAGTTAAATGTTTTCTGTTCGGCCTCTTTGCTACAGAATGCACGTGTGTATGATGCGTCTGTTCAGAGCTCAGTGGCTTCTGTTGGTAACAATATCAATGATAACAACAACAACAACAATAATAATAATATTATAATAACAATATCACAGAAATTAAACATTTTACATGTTTTCCACCAAACACTCATGGTATGGTAATGGACTGACGCAATAAATCCATTTTCTGTGATGTCATGTAAACGTGACTACAGGACCCATAAGGCACCGGGCCAATTGCTGGCTGTTGATTGGCTCTGCACCCTGAGAAGGGAGGCGGGCCCTTCCTTTCAACCAAGGCTCTCGTTGGCTGTTGTAGGCTGTGGAGAGGACATGGAAGCTCCTATTGGCTCAAGAGAGGTGTCAATCACAAGGTCAGGGATCAGCGGCCATTTTGATGCACAGCTATCAGCAATATGTTCATGCAGCAGGAGAAGAGATGTATGGACATTTGAAATGATGCAGTTGGTGGATGTAGTAATGTGACTGGATGAAATATTTCACTGGATTCAGATCGTCTGGACCTTTGGGAGTGTGTTGGCGTCATTTCTGTTGTCGCATCAATCTAACATGTTGTTTGGTTATCATAATCAGCAAATAAAACTCTCCAAGGACCCACGGATAGGAGGTTGGATTGTTTCAGAGCAGTGCGTCAGATTTAGATTACAGATTACAGATTACGGATTACAACCAGCTGAAACTCCTCTCAGAAACACACACACTCTGAATGAAGACGTTTTACATTAAAAACGCTCTTGTCACAGAGGGGCTGCTGACTACAGTGGCCGACATGAAAACATGAATGTCTCTATCTAGAGTCAGTGTTTGTCTTGTCCCTTCTGGGCTACTGTAGAAACATGGCGGTGCAACATGGTGATCTCCTGCTCCCTGTGTAGTTATAAACGTCTCATTCTGAGGTAACGAGAACACAACGGCTCTTATAATCAGCTGATTAAACACTAAGGAAAACACACTGATTATATGATGTTCGACACACTGGAGCTTTAAAAAAAGAAACAATGTGTTCCAGCTGAACTCACTCATGTTAGCCAGCATAGAGTTGATGTCTCGCAGTGTCTTCCCTACAGCGTCTCTGGTCTCTCTGGCATTCCTGAAAGCAGCAGTCGCTCCGTCAGCAGCCTGCAAAGGAAACATTGACATCATTTACTGTGTGTCCAGCAGCTGGTCACTCA